TCATTTGAAGAGGGGAAGGAAAGCTTCCAGTTTAGCCCATTGATCTCTTCTGCAAACTGACATCCGAGTTATTTTTTTTTTCAGCATGATATCCACTAAGATTTCCTAGAATTTTTGTTGCTGTGACTAATCATTTTATGAATGTTTTGGCACATCATCAGAGTTTTAATACTATCATGGTGTTTCCTATCATTCTCTTGGTACATCATAATAAATATTTCCCCATGTCACCATAACAGCAAAAAACCCCAGTTTGATCTTTGCCTTCTTTTCCGTAACTGACCAATTTTAGAGCATTACAAACAGCACTCCCCCCATCTACACGAAGTTTATTTCAACTTTAAAAATATTTCAGTGTTTTTTTGATATATATGTAGTATATACTGCAATATGCAATGTCACTATGCAAATAAGCCTCTAGTTTGAACAGTCCTGCATCACAACTTGCTTTGTCATCACCATGACATCACCTGCACAGACTGGTACATAAAAATCATTGTGGCCTGAAAACTGCAACGCAAAGTCATATTGTACCATCATTTTTTGAACAGCCACCTCCAGTGCAATCAGCGAATAGCACCCAAAAAGTAATAATCCAAGCATGACATTGTTCACTGCCTCCACAGGATTCCCTTAATATTACAGTTGTCCAACTTATTCTCTCTATGGGAAGTGTGAAAAGTAATAACTCAAAGCTTCCAAAAGAATTATTGCATTGGGTTCTGAAGTACACCAAAACACGTAATTTAAAAAGCATTTTAGTGTCCAATAATGTAGCCATTCAGATACTACCCCTCCAAAATTTTTATCAATTAATTTGGGGATAAAAGTTGAAGAGCACCTAGGCACCCTGGAATCTACCTTTTCCTTCCAAGGCAGAACAAGGATCTCACTCCCACTAAGAGACTTCCAGCAACTGAGTACACATATTTTTGAAAATACTATAGTGCTTTAAGAAACATGCTCTCTAACATATCGTTTATATCCTGAAGAGATTAGAATTCTGATTCATTCAATATCGTTCTGATGAATCATGGTTGCTGAAAGGAAAAGTAAGGTCAAAATTCAAGAGTTCAGAAAGCAAGTGTAACTTCAGAGAAGTGCTTGGGTCAGGCAGCTAGCTCACTGAAGCCGATTTGCTGCTAACACACAGTCCAACACCATCAGCCAAAAACCAGAGACAGATGTCCTCTGGAAAAATATCCTAAGCATTTTTTTCCCAGCACCCCATTTGAAAATAACCATATTTTGCTTAAGAAAAAAAAAACAATTAATTGCATGTGAAGTAAAATAATTGGAAGCAGAATAATTAAAAATTGTTATCAAGTGATGTAAACCAACTTTGTGGTTCAAGTCTCTAGAAACCAAACAAAGCAATTAGCAAAAGACTGTTTTCATGCCTTACTTCAAAGAGACAAATCACCTTTTGCATGCTTCAAGTATAGATGACTAACAAAAAAAGACAGGTTCACACTAAGGCTCAAACTTTAAAAAACAAAACCCAAAAAGCCCACTTTCCACGACCAGAGCCAAAAGCTCCCTCTCATCTATTTTATTGTTTGTTTTTTCAGCATTGTACTACTACAGTGCAGGAAAATATCACATCACAGCAATCTTACTTTAAAAAAAAAAACACCACCCAACAATAAAGTACCCCACTCTTTCTGTCTTATTAAGGAACACATTATATACTTTATATATATATATATATATAAAGAATACTTTATTTGCAGGAAGTTTCAAGTTACTGTAAGCTATCATTTAAATTCTAGGTTCACATCAAACTGAATGTAAGATTTTACCATGAGAATAACATGACGGGATCGACTTTGAAGTCATAAAGCCTACAATCAGCTTCCAAAGTCTTTCATTTTGTACATGTTAAATTTCCTGTCTTCAGCAGACACTTGAGATAACGTCATTCTTGAGCTTTAAATGGATACATTTAGGCTTACCTGCAAAAGATTACACTCTTCAGTGCTACAGATCTGATCCTAAATATTCTCACAAAAAGTAGTGTTTTCTCAGTTTCCTGGTACTAATCAATGCTTGGAAACTATTTCATACCAGCAAAGACAATTAACATTAGTATTTAATTTTACTTCCTTTCAAAATAAAGTAATTAAAGTATTAAGAATTTAAAGCATTTGCCATTTTAACTGTATTTTTAAAATCAGCTTTTAGCTTAGCAGATGTGTTATTTTTAATGAGTCTGCCACAGCTGCCCACTGCCCTCCACACACCTACTCAGGGGTCTCCAACCTCATTGCTTTCCATTCTTAGAAACAGAAATGCAAATTATACCACAATAAGAAACTTTAGTAATCTAGCATTTTAGAATCACACACAATGGATTCTGATCCAAAAGAACAACTCTGTATTTCCACCCTTTGGCACGGGCAGACATATTTACTGCCCAGACGGGCAGGAGACACAAGGCATCACTATGCAGAGAGAGTCCTCGTGGCAGCTTTTCAGCTGCGGATGTAACCTCACCATAAGTCATACAAAAAACCATCACTTTGATATATGAACTCTAAAAAGCCTTTTCCAGAAGCCCATGAAACACTTCCTTGATGCTTTGGAAAGGAGGAGAGCACTGGCTCAGGGATAACTCAGGTGCAGACACAAGATAAGTGCAAAAGTGAAGCAGGCTGAACTAGGTCCCATCCTAGAGAGGACTCTGCTAACAGTTTGTGAAGGGGAAAAAAATAACACCTACAGACACAGTAAATTAAGGTAAGAGACAAGCTGTCCATTCCTCTCTCAAATCCAACTGAACAGGATCACTAGGTCCAAAACCAAAAGTTCTGCAGTGAGATTTCTTTTTCATACTCAAGACGAGAAGTCCCTCCTTCAGGTTTTGTATTTCGATTAATCTTCAGATGAGTAAGATTTATGAGCACAAGCAATTCATGACAGCATCAGTTCTCATCTGTATTACTGCAATGTGAAAGTACTTCTGCATTGCTAAACATCACCAACCTGGACAGGAAAACAATTCTATCTGAACTTGTTTTGATACAGAAGGAGTTTGGCAAGAGCCAGATTGAGAGTCTGACAGAACAATACCTCCCCTATATTCGTACCACAGCTAGATATTATAGTATTAGAGTAATATTTAAAAATTTCATGCAAACAGCATTTCTTTTCTAGAATCTTTTCTTCTCCCCATGTGTCTTTCCAGCAAATTTATCCTCATTCACACTTCAAAGATCTTTCATAACTTTAAGGAAAGCATGGATGGGGCCCACCAAAATTTGAACAGAGGGTGCCCTACGCCCAACCCTTGCCCTGGAAGATACTGGTGCCTGATACCACTACCCTTTCTTTGGCTTTGAGGGCAACCCACCGCTTGCCCCATTCATCACCATCCAGTTCCTCTGCACACAGTGTTCCCATACACCGGGCACCAAGGTACTGACACCTGGTTGCACAGGGATGGCCCCAAAGCCCCTCACCCACTGCCATGGACCTGGGGAACTGTGGCATCCCCAGCGCCATTGATGCCCACAATGTGCAGGTCAGGGTACCCGCAGGGAGGCCACAGACTTTGGAAGCGGCAGAAAACGGCTGCAGGTGCTGGCGGTGGTCTGGCAATCTGCCTTCCTCTCGCCCCACATACAACCCTGCTAACAGCACCCACCACACGGCCTCAGGCACAGGGATGGAGGTAACAGTCCATTTTCAATCCCAGGCTGTGAAAGCAGGAGAGGCTGCTCACTGCGAGGCACCAGGGAGCGCCCTGGGTCCCGCATGCCTCCGGCGGGGCTAAGAATGCGCTCCGCGTCCTCCTTCCCGAAGAAGTCGGAGGCAGTGGAGGGCACCTGGAGCCAGAGCGTGTGGCACACACCTCCAGGAAAAGGTGGAGGAAAGAATCTGAAATAGAGAGGCGCTGGCCGGGCCACCATGGGGCTAGCGAAGGGCAAATCCCTGGGCAGGATGCATGTTTCGAGGGCTGCTGGGCAACCCTGTCCTGAGAAGACGGTGAGGTCAGAGAGTGGGAGACGGCTCCCTCAGCCCTGAGTTCGGCGCCCGCCTCGGCGCCCTCCACGCGTCCGGGAAGGGGCCGGCGGCGGCCCAGGAGCGGCCCGGGAGCCCCGCGGCGGCCGCGCAAGGTACGGCCGGCACCGCTCCGCCGCCCGCGGAGGATGCGCCGCGCGGGGCTGACCGCCGACGGGTTCCTTTCCACGCCGTGCAGACCGTCCCTGGTCCCCGCTCTCCCCGGGCCCGCCCCGCAGTCCCCCCACCGCCCTAGAGGGCACCAGCCCCGACTGAGCCGTTCTCCGCAATCGCGGCTCTCGAGGCGACCCCATCGTCCGGCCGATCTAAGGGGCAATCGGGACTTTTCAGAGTTTTATTTTCAACTTGCGCGGAGACCACACCTTAATATTAACATATTCACCCATGGCTGGACACCGCAGTGCTCCATCCAAAAAAAATTCGTTTCTTGGATGGCCGCCTGCTAAGTAACGCGTTTTAATAAACTGAAACTTCTCTCTGTCAAAGTAAGGACAATCTCCCTCCTGACAACCTCCATAAACTTGAGAACTTCTGAAAAACGCTCACTGTCCCCTTTACAAAATACCCCCGAAACCCTAAAACGGCAGCTGAACTAGACTGCCTGGAGGGCAAGCCTTGAACCCTCCTCTCTCCCACGCCTTCCCCGAGGATGCGAGGCGACACGGGGCTCGGGAAGCAGCGGCAGCGTTTCCGAGAGAAGAGCGAGCAGAGCCCCGCCACACGTGCGAGCCCCGCACTCCCGGGCGAACAGCAACAACAACAAAATTAACAACAGCAACAAAGATACAAGAACTTAGGGTTGAGTTATGAACTTTAAAGTTTCTTGGAGAAATAGCAGAATGTGGGAGATACCGCGGGGAAGGAGCGCGGAGCATCCCCAACGCTGTCGGTCCGGCGGGCAGCGACGACGGCCCCGCGGGCCCGGGACGCGCAACCCGCCCGGCGACCCACCGGAGGGGAGGGAGGGAGGGACGTACCGGCAGTGAGGCATACGGGCAGAAGCAGTCGGAAGGTGAGCCCGCACACCACCTCGGTTGCCATCGCGGCGGGCGCGGGTCGCGGCCGGCCGGCCGGGGAGCCGTCCCTCGCTGAGAGCCACCGCCGCTCCTCTAGGTCCTCCCGTGCGCGGAGCCGCCGCGGCGGCGGAGCATCGCCCGTCCGTCCCCTCCTCTCCTCGCCTCAGCCGCGCCGCCTCACGCCTCCCGTCGCATCCCGGCGGCAGCCCATGCAACCAGCGCCGCGCCGCACCCCCGGCCCGGGGCACACACACGCACACCCCCGCCCCCTCGGGCCTCCCCCACCGCCCTCCCTCCCGCCCGCCTCCCCTCGGCGGCAGCGCGGAGCGGCCGCCCCGACGGCGCGGGCCCAGCCGGCGGCACCCACGGCGCGACCCGCGCCAGGGAGCTGCCCCGCGCCCAGCCCCGCCCTCATCTCCCCCGCCCCGCTTGTGCCCCTGTCCGCCGGGACCCTCTTGTCACCGCGTTGGCATGCACCCAGCGGCCCCTTCCCGCTCTGCACCGAGAACTTCGCCGGTCTTCCCTACCGCTATTTGGTGTTAATGTGGGGGGGGGGGGGGTAACTGATTTTTTTATTTATTTATTTTTGTATTATTTTATTTTTGGGGTAATGTTTTTGTTGTTTAGTTGTTTTGTTTTCTTGAGTGGGGGAACGGTTTTCTCTAATCTGTTCGCTTCCCGACCCCCTTCTCTTCCCCCCCGCCCCCCTCCTCGCCCCTCCCCACCAGTTTCAGCAGCACATTTAGGTCCACAAGAAAATTGTCGCCTGGAAAAACACTGGGGGCAGTGTTGGAGGCAACACTTCAGTCCTCTGCAGGATCTGAGGAAAAGTAGAAAGCAGGAGCAGTGACCCTGTGGTCCTATACCTAAATTCTCAGTGCTTCTTCCTGGTGGAGAATCTCATCCAGTCATGCTTCAAACTGAAAAAGTCTTAGATTTGCTCTTGAAGTCTTGTTTGCGTGCTTTATTTGTTTTGGGTTTTTTTACTCTTATAATTACTTAAGCTTATTTTGCTTTCCTGTGCTTTTAAAAGAAATTATTTCATATCCTTATTGCAGAGAAAAATGTTTGCAAGCTTGAGCTTGACTCACAGGAGAATACAAAGGGTCTTTTAAGGGAAAAAATAACAATCTTGTGTTTTGGGGGTTTAAATGACAAGTTTTGAGCCGTGAGGATATCTGATTTTTCTTTTATGAATAATGGCAATTATTCAGCTATTCAAATATTACGTAACACGTTAACTGAATCTGATACTAGTATATTTGGAAAGTGAAGAACTCCAGACTTAAATATATGAAAATGCTTGGGAAAGCTGAGACATCAGCTACAGACACTAATTAAACGTGCCTAGTGGATCTGTTAAAAGGTCCCCTCTCATGAAAAGCCTAAGCCTCCTCTGAGGAGGTATGGTGAGTTCATACTCGGCGTGTGGAGTTTAAATGTAGCATCTGTCTGCATTGACAGAGATTGTAATGAAGCCCCATCCCAGCAGGGTGAACGTGACAGCTCAACTTGATCTCAGGGCACAGCCTGGGAAGATTGCTCCCTCCCTTCCCACATTCAGGCCCAGTGTGGCTCACCCAGATATCTCAACTGTGAATCAAGTCTGGATATTTCATTCTCAGTCTTCTGGCATAAGTTTCTCTGCACATCGATCTTTGTGAGCACACCTGGTGATCATGTCTACAGATGGTAAAACGCCAGGATCAGGTAGTACTTAATCTGCTAATGAAGTATCTGATCAGCCCATGGTAATGTCAATCCCACCATTGTTTTAAGAGCACAGGGTCCGCCCTAAAAACTGAGTTCCTAAGGAAGCTCTCCTTGCCTTTGAGGTTACAAAGCAGCAGTAGTCTGTGAGTGTAGGACACATGCATAGCTGTAACATTCTGTGCACTTTAGCAGCACAGGTTCAGATATTGATCAGGTTTGATATTCTTTTTTCAGTTTTTCAGTCACTAAAGAAAGGATAAAGTATTTATTACCTTTATAGTAAAGTTACCAAATTCTTTGCTTTCCTAAGAAGTGATTTTATGCTTGTGTTTAGGAAATAATTAGCCGAGTTTCAATATTTACCGTTCATAAGGTATGAAAAGTAGAGTTAAAATATGCATATTGAGTGGCTCCTTACCTTTTGCCAGACTGCTCGTCTACTGCAAAATCTATGCAGCCGCAGTGCCACCTTTTGGCTAAAATGTCTTTCGTGTAAGTGACATTTCTTTCCCTCAGCTGCCGGGAATTAACTGTTTGCACACACAGAATTTTGAGAGAACAATGAGACATCCATCGTCCATACACCTCTGGAGTGGTAAAAAGCATAACAAATTATGTGAAGCCTTACCAAGAACCGTGTGCTCCTTCTGCAGCTCAGCGGTTGACAGAAACAGTAAATGCACTAACCTGAAAATTGGAGGAGTGCTATTAGCCAGCATGGAAAAAATAAAACACAGGACTCTGACTAAAGCAGTAATTCAGAAAGAGAAGCTAAATTAATGGGGAAATTGTCTGTTGGGTTAAGTGTAAATAGCAGAAAACAATGTCTACAAGATAGCCAGGAGTTTATTTAGCTAATTCCAGTTTTGCAAGTGACATAAAAAGCAGTTTGAATATAAAGCAGGAGGTTTACTTCTTCCCTAAGGGCATACAACTTACTGAAATCACACTGTGGGCCACACAGTTTTTCTCTTTCCCTCTGCAAACAAGAGGAAATTCACAGACTGTGTGAGTCCTACAGCATGTAGTAAAAGTGCCAGCAGGGGATGCAGATATCTCACCACCTGCCAGCATTTCTTTCCCTTACTTTCAGCTACCAGGATCTCAGATCCCCAGGTTTGGGTGTGTAACGCCCACCTTAAGTGAAAACATTTTAGCAGTGGGATTGAAGAGGCCTTAAAAAGAAGTGGGAAGAACTTATGTTTATAGAAGAACAAACTTCAAGCCTCACCTTGTCACCTTTTCTGTAGCAATAACTTGGAGTTATTTTGGAAAAATATTGTCCCCACTTCACCCAATATGCAAAATCAGTTGCAGTGCATAGAGTCAGAGGCCAAGAGAGCTCCTAGGGGAAAAAAAAAAGTCCAGAACGTATTGTGCCACCAGTTCTATTAGAACATAATCAGTTAGAAGTGCTGGTTGAAGTTAAATGTGTAGAGCTGACTGACTGTCCGAAATAGTGCTGTTCAGAAAAACAGCTTCTAATTGCCTCAGGTATCTTAAATTTTTTGGTTGTTTGAATCATGAACTCAGGGCTTTGTTTTAACATTCACAGACTCTGGATAAAATAAACAAGGGCTTGTGTATGAATACATGTATATATGTGCATATTACATGATCTCACAATCCATACAGTTGACGAGCTCCATAAATGAGTGCTAAACCAGCTTAAGAAATAAAATTCCTCTATACAAAGAAGCAGAAAGCATTAAGTTCCATTGAGAGGCAGGAGAAGCTACTGAAGCCTTTTCGGGGCAGTCACTGCTGTACAACTCTGGTTTATATTTGTTATTCTTACAATATGAGAGTCCTGCTTTAGGGACCTGTGGGGGAGGAAATGGCTTTAACATTTGCAGTGATGATTAACTAGTGTGTTATGTCTCTTGATCCATGCTCCCTAAGAATACATGAAAACATCTTGTTCCTCTTACCTATTCTAGAAGTCCTCCTCCTGCTCAGCCCTGTCAGCAGCTAGGGGAACAACCGGCAGTGGCTCACCAGGAGTCAAGAAATTCAGTTTTTCAGCTTAGTTCACATTCAGCTCTGACTGAAGCTGTTATTGTTCACTTCCAGCATGAAGTCAGCTAAACTTCAGAATAATGTTCAAGTTCAGTTCTGGTTCAAGAAAAGTTAATAAAAACAGTTCAAACTGATTTTTGGTTCAGAGTAGGTTTAACTCCTCACTACCACCAGTAAGTATTTTATCTTCTTAAATGATGAACTTGTCTTGCCTTACAATAAGGAAATTCATTCCACTCAAATGTATGCTGAGTAGGCATCTTTAGAAATGTTTGGCTGCCCTAGAAGAGCAGGAAAGTTTCCTAGGAGCCTCCAAATTTCCCCTATGCTTGATTTGTCTTCCATTCATTAATCCACAATTTCACCACTCATTTCAGCTGAGTTAGAACTGGGCAGAGGGTGTGCAAAAACTTTCTAGAACCAGATGCATTACCAAAGGTCTGATTTTTTTGCCTCCTAGGCTTTGTTAATCTTCACCATTCATGTCCCAGGGTCTGTCTGGAACTTTTGTCTTGTGCAGCAAGTACTTATTTATAGAAACCCTTGTTGATTGCTGGTCTTGTTCGGCTGGGTTTTACAACCTGATCGATTATGAAGCATGAAAACATTATTATCTTTACCTGAGAATAATGTAGAACACAACAGGAGGGCTCTGTCACATACTCAAGTAGCTTAGTTTCATCACGTTATAGGACATCAAACCTGGCAGAATCCGACGCAATCTCTCAATGCGTCATTAACTGTGGATGCAATTATAAAGGAACTCTGTTCTTGACTACTGAACACAGTTATCAGAAGTCAATCATTAGGTACAGCACTCATAATGACTACTAAGAAAAATGGAATTGTCTAGTGGTCAGTGCAGAGGACTTACAAAACATAGCTGCTGATGGAACTGATGGAAACACATCCCCAGCCTCCTCTTGCATGCATTGTGTGGCTGCATCAATAATACAGGAAAGCTCTTCCATATCCATTAACAAGAGAGGCTAGACAAGGTGAAAGGCAAGTGGGATTTTCTGAGGGAGCTATGACATTACATACCTGTGAATTTACTCATATCAGGAGTAAATTTTATCAATTATACATGAATTGTGTTTGCTTCTTTCAAATCAAGTAAGTTTCAGCAGACGAGTCACTGTTTTGTTTGATTGCAAGATTCTTTTCTTGGTGGAATAAGAAATAAAGGATAGCTTCCACAGTTAAAGATTATTAGTATTGTTAATATTTTCTGATTAAACTACAAGTATTTTAAGATTTCTGTGGCAAATTATACCAGGGAATTTTAAGCACTGCTCCTC